AGGCATGGAACCACTGAGTTAAATCCCAGCCCTTGCACTATATCTTACTGTCAATGGGCCGGGGATTTAGCTCAGTGGTTCCGCTGCCTGCCTCACAAGTATGATGACCCACGTTTGATCCCTGGTACCAAAAAACAAAAACAAAACAATATATGTTTATATATTTTTTAATGTCATTAATAGGATATTCTGGATATGTTCAGTTCTCTTGTTATATAAATGACATCATGGTCAGGATTCTCTGAATCTAAATCTGAACAAATCATATGTTGCTAAAATCATTTTTTAGAAGCCAAACAGTTACCTACTTGGGCTTTGAACCAATGGTTAAGGTGTGTGATAAGAGTTAGAAAGAAAATTCTTCCTTGCTATTTGGTATATAAACAAGGCCTTTATAGGTAAAAATGAGGACTGTTGGGTGAGAAAAGTCCCATGGTTTGGGGGTCATAAACCTCTGAGACTATAACTCATAGATCCCCTGAGGCTTGTCTTTGGATGGTCCTTTTGGGATAAAAGAGATTATAACACTCATTCAATATGTTGATAAAGACCAAGAAGCATGACATGTCCATAACAATGTTTTCTGAAGAGTGGCTTGGTTTTATGTTCTATGACACACAGGCTATAGTGGCTATCTTGTAATTTCAATTTGAAAACCAGTGCAGAAACACAGGGAGTGGTTAACAACAACTTGGTGCCGCCATCTCTTCAACCAGGAGGAAAAGTGCCTTGCAGCTACCAGTAATGAGTTAACCCATGTAAAGACTCCTGAAACCACACTTGCTCCATGGTAAACACATGATTGTCAGCTACCACATATTCTCACAGATACAGGCGATTACAGGTGATTTTTGTTTGCTTCTTTAAACTTTCTGCATAGTCTATACTTCTTTTCGTGAACTAGCTTTACTACTACAGTACAAAATAACTATGTTAATGGTGACTTCATCTTATTATAGAAGCTGTAACCCATTACCTTTAAATAAATAAACTGTGATATCTCTGAAAATTAAAATAGGAAAGCTGAAAGGAGACGCTCTTCTCAGAATTCTGCCCCGCTGCAGTGCAGGGCAGAAAATTGAAGGCTTTTCTAGAACGTTCTATGTCCTTCTCTCTGCAGCGGAGATTTCTCCGTTCTCCTTCAGCCCTTACTTCGGCCTAAATCAGCCCAGGCCCTGTCACTTCCTCCTCCCGAAGACCGAAACTCAGAGCACGTCTCTGATTGTGCAGTCTGGGTCTCTCGAGCCAAAAACGGTCCCCGCCCGAGAAAAACGGTCCCGGCCTGAGAATTCTTTCTCGGCGGCGTGTAATGCTCACCACAGAGGCAGGTCGGTGGCGCGCTTCCTCAATTCCCTGATAGCCTGAGACCTTGAGACCTAACCGAGGCCACCCACACCATCCGCCTCACCTGATGCCAGCACCTCAGAACAGGACCTCGGCAGCTCCGACCTGAAGCCGCAGCTCAGCTTCCGCCGTTGCCACCCCAGTCAGCGGAAGTTACGGCCAGCAATGTGCCGGGGTCTTCCAGGGCTGAGAGCAGGAGCGGAAAGGTACTCTCAAGATCCCCTCGGTGTTCCCTAGGGGTCGGCACCTTAGTTCCTGGCAGAGCCGGAACCACCTTCCTCTATGAGGGAGTCGGTTCCCCAGACCAGGCTCTACCTCCCAGGGTGCCCGGAGCCTGGCGGATCAGCCCCGGGTGGCCCAGGGCTCACAGAGGGGCAGAGCCGGGCAGTTTGCCGTCCCTTCCACTTGCGACTCTTTCTAGTGCATTTGTTAGACTTCGTGAAAATGGCGATAATTCTGGAAGCCAGTCCTTCCCCACTGGGGCGCAGGTGGTTCGCTTTGTATTTAGCAGGCTCGAAAGCCACACTGTCCGGCTTTGCGGCTTTCCTGGTGTCTTCCCAGGGCCATCGGCAGCTCTGGTGTGAGGCGCTGCCTCGGACTGTGCGGTGGTGCAGGGCACTCGGGCCACCACCTAGGGGGTCTCGGTCCTGCGGCGACCCCGCCCACGTGGACCACTTCAGCCCTCTTCACTCTTCCTAGGCCTCCTCGGTTTCCATGTTTCCATTTATTTGATTGCGTGTGGTTAGAAGGCTCGCACGTTCTCTGTCTTCCTGTTTTTTTCCCCAGGGAAAATTCACCAGCAAGAGATACTAGCAATACTTTGTCGTTTTTGCTATTAAAAAGATTGAAGGAAATTGAGAAATTTTCATTATTCTGCTTCTCATCAATGAATATGTTATCCTGCCTTTATGTCAGAATTCACTGCCCTGAAAACGTAAGTAGAGATTCATGCTAGTCTCTACGAACACCTCAGACATTAGTTAGGCTTTTAGATATTGTATGTTTTATCTGCTACATTCTAACACTTTATGGAACTATTTATTTTTTATTTATTTGAGGCAATGTCTTACTTTGTAATTGAGACTGGCCTTGAACTCACTATGTAGCCCAGGCTGGCCTTGGCGTCATGGAGACCTTCCTGCCTCAGCCTCCCGAGTGCTGCTATTACAGGTGTGCATCACCATGCCTGGCCGATCTAACACTTTAAACTATAAAAAGCTTTTGTGAACTTCAGTTGCGTGTAAAAATCATTTAAATTGAATGCACAACTGTGATTGCTAGAGATTGGGAAGCTATATGGGCAATGGATAGAACATGGGCAGATATCATTAGGGTGCACTGTCTCCATGTTTTACAATATCACACTAGAATAGTAATTTATGCATATTACTAAGGGAAACTACAGTTAAAATCATTAAGGTAAGTGAAGTAATGTGGTGTGAGTTTCCAACCTGTTGGCCTACCCCAGAGTTTTCAGTGTTAGATGCCAAAATCACATGATCTCACTCTGTAAAATATCGCTCTAACAATTTTTATTCTCTCTGAAGCATTGCAATGTTATTCTTTAGGTCTAAAATGTCCCCCAAGTGTCATTTAATTGGAGGTGGGTACTGTTTAGAAGAGAGGTGTCACTTTGGGTATGTGGAGGCTGTGTTCTCATCCCTGGCCTCCTCCTTTGTCTCTTTCGTTCTTCAGTGCCACGGCATGACCGTTTTCCTTAGCCGTGCCATTGTGTGATGCCGTTTCTCTCTCTGAGTAGGCTGACCATGGACTGAATCCACTGAATTTGTGAGCCAAGATAAACTGCTCCTCAATTCAGTTCAGCATATTGTCCCAGTGATAGAAATGTGAGTAATACAGAAAATTGGTGTCAGGACTAGAGCCCCTGCTATGACTGAATTTGACTGTGGGAACAAAAAGCTTTGGAAGTGGTTTGAAGGTAGAATTTGCTAAGGTTTTCCTTTTGTTTGTTTGTTTTATTTTTGTTGGTACCGGGGATCACACTCGAGACCTTGCACTTTTGATGCAGGCAGCAGAACCACTGAGCTAAATCCCTGGCCCTGGCAAGGTTTGGAGGTAGCGTCTAGAGAAGTGGTAGAATGTTGTGAGCAGTGCTTGATGTGCAAAACTGGTAAGAGGTCAGACAAAGTGGAAGCTGATAGGTATACAGAAACTAAGGTCCAGGCTCAGGAGGTTTCAGTGAGGAACAAGGGCCTCATTGCCAGTTGCACTAGATGCCATGCATGTGAAACTGTGGCCTAAACTTTGTCCACGCTTTGCCCATCTCCTGACATTTTATGGAAGAATAACACGGCAGTGGAGTGACTAATTTCGTGGTGGAAATTACAAGGCTGGCCGGTGCTCAGTTTGTGTCATGTTCATTGCTGAATGTCAGTAGGAGGAACTCCAATGAGTGTCACGAGGCACTGGCAGAACTGAGTGATTTGGAATCTCTGGTGTTTCACCAGAAAGAAGCACCTGAGACACTGGGGCAATGAAGTAACGACTGGTGAATGAGTAGCATTAAAAAATGCCAAGCACTTTGTCTAGGATGAAAAGAAAAATGCCTTGAGAGCATCTAAGAAATCGCCAGGTCTCCGCCCATTATAGGATCAAGGGTTTACACCTGTAAATCTTTCATTGAGCAGAGTCCTTAGGACTGCTGCTCATTCAGGGCTGCTTAAGGAAGTGTATTTCTGCGTTCAGCCATCCATTCCCCAGTGACCGTCTGTGAAAGGGGCCTGGTTTATGCACAAGATGATGACGAACCCTTTTGTTATTCACGTGTTTCTAGATTTTAGGCAGCAATAGATATGGGTTCTGAGAGGCTTCCACCCAAATGTCGGACAAAGGTGTGCCAGGGTCAGAGTCCCTGGTAAGAGCTCTCAAGAGAGCGATGTATGAAGCTGTGACAGTGAAGTGAAATTTGCCACGAGGACCCCAGGGAGTTTGAGTTGCCAAGTACAGGGAAGTTTGTTTGAAGGAAACCACAAGCACAGAGTGGAGCCAGCCCAAGCAAAAGGCGGTGAGGGCTACGAAAGGAGCGTCCATAGGGAAAAGGCTGCCAAGTACTTTGGACTCACATCTCACCACACCCTGCTCTGACTGCTGGACATGGATCAAGGGGACTTAACTGATGAAGCAATAGGCCCCATTTGAGTTTCAATGCTAATTAATTCAATTCCATTTTATCCCCCATTCCTCCCTCTTAGAGTGTAAATGCTTACCCTGTTTTCTTGTATCGAGAGTAGTATTCTTATTCTTCTTTTTTTCTTTTTAACAGGAGCTCACAGAAAGAGTTTTCCTGGAGCCCCATGGGGAGACTTTGGACATGGAATTTTGCACAACAGTTGAACTAGTAAGACTGGCCAATCTTAGAAACGGACTAACGGCAGTTTGAGTAATGAGATGGCCATGAGCTGCTTAGGGGTCAGAGGATAAATGTTAGGGTATAAACGTAAAAGTCTACTGGAGCACCTCATGTTTGTTGGTGGGGCCTGGAAGAGGAAAGTCATTTGAGGAGTAACTACAGAGTGGATATTTTCCTCCCTAATTCTTTCTCCCCTTCCCTCTCCTGGCTAATATCCCGTGAATGGCATTTCCTCCCTCACAGACTGCTGGAATACTATTCTGATATAAACATGCACTGAGTCCTCTGAAAACTGTGCTCAAAATCCAACTGTTCAGTTTGGACTTATAATTCATTTGTATTTTCTATCAGACTCAGGCAATCTAAGAAAGAAATGGAAACATTTATATCATTGGGTATAGCTATTAATAGATTTAGTATAGATTATGATTTATTTTTTGCACATGGATGCTCCAATGTTTCAGACCCAGACTCCATGAGAGCATATAGGTGTGTAATCTTCATTGTTCACACATGACCACTCATTGTTCTGAACAGGTGTAGCCCAGGCGGTCAGGAGGCCTCTATTAGCCCCAAAAGCGACTCAGACACTTGAGATGGAAAGACATCTACCAGTAACTGGAATGAACACTGAACCACACAGGGTGAAGACACAAAGAGAAGTAGTGGAAGGCCCCTTTCTCAAACCTGAGCCACACACAAGGTGAGTAGACCCACGCGAGCACTTCCTCTTCTTCCCTGATCCTCTTCCCTCTAAGGCTCCTCCCCTGGCCTCAGACCCCTCAAGTGAAGCCACTGTTCCCATCCCTCCTCCCTCATCTGCCCCCATCTTTCCCAGATCACCTTCTGTGATCTCCCATTGTCCTTTCAAGTACTCAACAGAATAGGAAAGTTTCAACACCTCCTATAGGGGTTTGGAAAAAAACAACCTTCCCCAAAGCAGCCGCCTCTTTTCACAAACCCGGGAAAGGAATATGATCAGCATAGCTCTGTGATTCCAACAGCTAGAAGGAGAAACGCTGTCAGCATGAGCCAGAGCAGGACCAAGAGAGTGTGGGACATTCTATGACCTGAACTGAAGACCTGGCCAGCCTGGGACATGGGTGAAGAGAGAGACCTCAGGTCTATCCCAGGAATCTCCAGAGGTCAGGCCCCTGGGAAACGGTCAACAGGGTAGACAGTGAATTTTATGCCAACTTTTACACAAGTGTGATGAGCATAAAACCAGCAACAGAAGCTGTCCATGCACCTCTTCTTTATGGTGGGAAGGGGGAGGAAGGAAAGAGGGGTGTGTGTGTGTGTGTGTGTGTGTGTGTGTGTGTGTGTGTAGTGTGTGTGTGAAGGAAGAGATGAAGGTACTGCAGAGGGGAGGTTCTGAGTGATGCCATTTCTCTCCATGTGTGCAGTGTCTTCCACCTAGATAGTAAGAGATGGTATATACGGGGTGGAAGTGACCCGCCCATGGAAAGCAAAATCCCTAATTCTCTCCACACCCACTGCATAGTGCTGTTTCTTGTTTCCAGCACTATGATGTAAGCAACTCAAGGCCTTCACAATAACAAAACAACCAAAGATCCCCAAAAGTACTCTGAAGCAGTGAAATGACAGTTTTGGACCTCACAAATCCAATAGTGCTTTGGCTACATTTTCAAAACAGAATAGATATGTTGTGATTGAGTAGCAGCAGTGATTCATCTTTGGGGTGTGCAAAGAAGGGGAGCAGTGCTTGTAAACAAGTGCAGTAACTCCAGATTTTATTTTATTCAGTTGTTTATTTATGCCCAGGGGTAAGAAATCACAGAGTTAGGTCCTCTGCAACCTTCGCCCCAACCTCCGTGGTAAAATACTGAAATACCACTGCTGCCCAGTTCTCAGACGGACATCGACATGGATGCTGCCAAGACGGCCAATGCTTCCATCAGCATAGGGATCTGTCCTTGTAGACACACAGCACGTCTTCCACACGCACAGGCTCCTGGAGACCTCGAGTCTCTTATTCATGTATATAATTTGACTCCTTCAATGATTTTACCAAATGGAATCACAAGGATATGTACGGTTCGGTTTTGCATATTTTTCTAAACCAGGGATGAAACTTGAGAACTTGTGCTTGCAAGGCAGGCGACAGCACCACTGAGCTAAATCCCCAGCCCCTGGTATGGCTTATTTAACTTGACATAGTTATCTCGAGATTCACCCCTCTCTGTATGTACACAAAGAGTTCACTCCTTTGCAGTGCTGAGCAGTGTTCCAAGGCATGGACGTGCCAAGGTTTTTGTTTCTGTTTTAACTATTCTTCCGTCTAAGGACAACTAGGAAGCTGCTCCCAACAAGCTCACACCGACTTATCATGAATATACATTGCAGGTTCTCTGGGATAAATGCACAGCAGTGTGTTTGCTGGGTTGTATAGTGCTTGCAGGTTTCACTGTATTTTAATTACTAGACATGACTACTAGAAGAATTTAGAAATACAGAAAATTGAGCAGATAGAAGAGTTCCTCTATACCCCCTTTTCCCTCCAGAAAGTTTTCAACATAATTAGATTTTTGCATGATTCTGCTATACCTTTTATAATTTATATTTGTTTCCAATGTTATCCAATTAATGAAGGTAGCCAATATCAATACGGACACAGCATTTTTCCCCATTAAGTTCATTGGTCCATTTTAGGTAGACAGTACAGTTACATTCATCATTGGGATCTTGTACCTTTATAGGACAGGTCTTGGCTCTCATTTTTTCCCCTTATCCCTGCCCTCCCTTCATCCCTTCAATCCTTCCCTATTTACAAAGTCTTTGTTTCCAGTTTTTCCTTTTCTCATATTTTTTCTTTTCCCTTCTTTCCTTTCCCCTACCCCTCCCACTTCCCCTACACCTTTAGCCCTTTTCTTCGTATTTCACATTATCAATTATACAATTTGAACCTTATTTACACTTGTAGTTCTTCACTCCAGAGGAACTATTCAGTGCTTACACATGTGCTGGCACAGTATTTTTACTAATATGTGTGCTTTCCATTAAGCTTCAGTCTTTCCGTTGTGTGGTTGGTACTATGGGTTTTGACAAGTGCATAACATTGTGCATTCACCACTGTAATGTCACACAGAATAGGGGCAATGCCTTAAAGTCCCCCGTATTTAACCTATGCATCCCTCTCTTACTGCCGCCAAAACCATCCACTGACATTTTCTTCTCTACAGTTTCCCTCTTTCGAGATGTTATATAGTTGAGATCACAAGTATTTAGGCTATGCAGACTGGCTCCTTCCTGGACTCACTGAGGCTTTTCCACCACTTGACAGCTCTTTTCTTTATTGATAAGCTTTCACTGTGTCTAAGAACCACAGCTTGTAGACACGTTTCTCTATTGACTTCTTTATTGATGACCGCTTGGTGGCATCCAGCTTGTGGCTATTATGACTAAAGGCATTTCAACTAAAAGAACAGGCTTGCTAGCAAGGAGAGACAGAGTTCAGGCAAAAATCCCACCTCCTCCCAGTGCATGTGACACCAGAGGTGCACAGGAAATGAGGATGGTGGGCAGCAGGTCCCTGGGGGAGGTTGAGGGATGTTGAGGGCCACTAGGAGGCACAGGAACGCCCTCTGTGATGATGGACCAGGCATGGATCCCTTCCTTTTCTTCAAGCTGGAGACGCTGAGCCAGAGCTCATGGAAATCCACCCCACTCCTGCCCAGAGTGCTTTGTGAAGCTGCAGGCTCCAAACTTGCATTTCATCCCTCAGGGTATGGAAAAGTACAGACTGCTCTACCGAGCTGGGAGGGAAAAGCTGGGAGGTTTGTTATGTCCCCTCTTTAACCGTAGGACACTGAACAAATATTCTGTTTGTGTAGAAATAAACTATGTGATTCAGGAAATCTTATTTTTAATTATCTACTTATCTCTACCACAAAACTAGAAAACATGTTTGAAGCCCATAATGAGGTAGAAAATGTAAACCATAATGATGAATTCTTAGAGATTTATTGTGGGAAGCTTGAGAGGTTAAAAAATATTTTTAGCTGTATTTTCCCATTTTTTTCATTTTACTTTTGTTATCTGTACTTTGAGGCTGTTGTCCGAGAAAGACTTGGCTTATTCCAATGCCATTAAGTATTTCCAATCTATGTTCTTATAATATTTCTGTAATAACAGGTATACTTTCAAGGTTTCATTTATTTTGAGTTGATATTTAATCTAGCAAGAAAAAGTCTAGGTACATTTACTTGCCTGTAGATATCCAATTTTTTCAGCCCCATATATTAAAAATCATACTCGATTTCCCCTGTTTATTTTTACTATAACAAAATGCTCTCATCAAATGATGAACACATGAGAAAGAAGGGTTCAGTTTGGTTGAGCGTTTCCAAGGATACAGTCCACGGTCTGTGGGCACAGCTCTGGCGCCTGTGCTCAGGCAGTACATGGGTGGGGCATGTGCTGGATGGAGCTCTTCACCTCATGGCAGCTGGGAAGCAGGGAGAGGGAGGCGGAGACCAGCATCCCACAATCCCCTTCTAGGGCGCTCCTCCGAGACCTAAGACTTCCCACTAGGTCCCATGTCTGTGACCCCACATCCTTGCACTAGGCCTCAAACCCATGAGCCCTTGGGAGATGCTTATGCAAACCATAGGGAATGAGTGGGCTGGAACACAGATTCTCATTATGACACCGCCTCAGTCAAATGTGGGTAACAAAGATGTTGCTGGGCAGAAATTTTCCTGGCAGGAAGGGACTGGCACAATGCAAAAGTGATGTCTTTTATATGTAGGCAGAGAGGGCCTCCAGTGCATATGAAATCAGGACAGTGGACAATATATTGTCAAGATACTTAGGCATCTAAAATGAAAAATACTTGTAATGAGACAAGCACATTTGGGGGAAGATGTATATTAATAAACCTATGAGAAAAGATACTAAATATCAAGAAATGTGTGTTGCATTTAAATGCTCACAAAAGCACCTGTTACCAAGAGACACTGAAGAATGGAGACAGAATGAGCTGCCCGGGCAACATCTGCCAGCCTCTGTCACCCACAGCATCAGTGCTGCACGGTGGAGTAGCCCTGGTGGGAGAAATGCGCGCTCTGTCTGAGTTCACTAGAGTGGGATTCCAGTCACCCTTACCCATCTCTACAAGGTCAGATTGTGATTGGCAGCAAAGTTCCATTCCCCCTCCCAAGAGCTAGATTTGAATAAATATTTGTCTTCTTTTTGCTAAAATTTATGGCTTCCTTCACTTTGATCCTATGAAAACAAATGAACCTAAGTGCATGAATCTAAGTAGCCTGTGCCATTACCAAGAAGAGCCAAGGTGCTGGCTGAGACCCAGGGCACCTGGAAAGGCAGAATACTCCTCTTGTGGTTTAGCGGCCGATGGTGATGGAGGGCACAGTACCTGTAAACTATCCTTTCTCATGAGAACTGCTTTAAGAAAAGATCAACCAGACTCCATGAGGAGTAGTCCTCAAAGGATGATAACTTTTCTGCTATGAAATGAGCAGTTTGATCTTAGAAGTGTCTGTTCAAATCAAGGCTCATATATGCACTGGCTGGCTGTGCAGTGCCCGCTCTCAGCTCAGCTTTTATACCCAAGTCTGTTTAACAGGTCTCATGTGGAATGGGAAACGTGTTCATTGGACATTTCTCTTGGGTGCACAACTTAGCTGTTCTGCAACCACACAGGAGGAACTTCTGAACACAATTCTTTCAGGGATCTTCAGGTGGAGATATGTGCCTGTTACCATCAGCACCAGGACCTGTCTTGGGATGAGCGGGTGGGAGCAGGGTCACAGAGAGCAGATTGCTCCAACCTGGGCAGCCTGAGGCCAGGTGCAGGAGAGGGCGGGCAATGGGGCAGCAACAGGAGGAGGAACCCTCCCATCAGCATGGGGATTTGGGAGATTTGGGCCACCACCTGCCATCACACTGGAGAAGATGTCACAGCTCTCCTGGGATTGACAGGTGTGCCCAGGAGCCTGTAGGGTGTGGGCAGCATGAAGGAAACCCTTCAGTCAGAATCTGTGGGGTGGCTCCTGCCCAGGGCCTTCAAGGGACAGAATCAGCTTGCTCCTGTCCAAGGGAGCGAACACATATGGCTGAGCCCTGTAGGTGAGGAAATAGAGAGGTCAGGGTTTATGTGGACAGGGCGTGAGGATTAATCCAGTTGTCCTGGAGCACCTCATGTAGAAACCCCTGGGTCTGCTAGTACTTCAGTGGCACAGGATCATCCAATGATTGCTCCTAAGGACAAGTAGACTATAATGCTCACTCAGCTAGAACAGCAGGGAAGACAAGCTGTGTGCTAGTGAGGACTTGTAATGTCACTGTAAGTGGCTACAGAGTAGATGCTCAAACAAATGCAAAAAATATGATTTGTTAACATAAAATGCTTTTCCATTGTGGGAGGAGTTTTTGAGCATGTGATATAGGACTGGAAATTCTCCAGCCTTTTCAAGTGCCACCTACTATAGAACAGATGCTCCAGATATTGTACCAGTCGCATTTCCAGAAGGGTCTTCTCACTCACTAGCACTTGTCAGCCCTTCCCTTCCCCATAACCTCCAGTTTTAGCAGGCTGAGATTTTCCTTGTGTCTTTGGACTCATGGTCAGTCTGCTAACCTGAGAGCTGTTCCTATGGCGCTCATGACTGTCCTTGTCTCAACACCAGGACGAGTGCCATTCCGCACACTGCAAATCAGTACTTCTCTGTAGGGAGGGACACCAACTGGAGAGAGTACACGGACACCATTTTTTATACTTATTTTGAGATCAGCAAAGAAGCACTTATCACCCACTCAGAGGACTTAGGTTTTAGGGGAATTCAGCCACAGTGATGTTTTTCTTTGCTCTATCATGGTGAGCACGGCTTTGCCTGCCCTACAGCTTCTCAGGGAGCTTTGGGGTTTGAGCACCTACATAAGTTCAGGCACATGCACACATGTTCTAGTTACAATCCTACAAAAATGCCAAGATGGTCTCAAAAACTGTCCTAATTTACCTGTCAAGGCAAACAGTAGATTACGCTTCATGTTTGACTCCTTACAACCCATTTGGGAAAGCTTGCAAGTGTGTTATTTTGCTTCTCAGGCACAGAATCCAGGGTCTAAGCATCATGGTCCAAAGTTGACTCTTATGTCAAAAGGCTGTTGCTATTGGAGGGTTTCCATGGTGAGCAAAGTGCCAGGCAGGGCCTTATATATGCCATGGATGAGGGAAGGTGATTCTGGGCAGTTCCCTGGGAGTAGGGTGTACCCATCACCTGCTCATTTTACATTCTTAATTCAGGCCAGGGTTCAGTGCTTTGGACAAGGGGACTTTGCACACCCTGAGAAGTATTTTAAAAAATTTCTCTAAGTATGAATAAATCCCGAAAAAGAGCTGGGTTCAGGCTGGGAGGAATGGGAACAGGGTGGCCTCTAGATGACCTCACACTGAGAGTCTGTTCCTGGCCTTGGCATTTACCGCACAGGGAGCCTGAGATCCCATGGCCAGTAGGCCTCAGGTTCTTCACCTATAAAGTGAGTTTGGTGGTTGTAGGACTAGTGAAATGTACAAAATGTAATAAAATACTTAGCAGAATACCTGGCATAAATTAAATTTTTATTGATAAGCACCTGCTTCCTCTACTAATTTAACCTTGGATATTACCCCACTTTTCCTGTAAAATTTTGGTTTGTGTTTCTCAAGAAAGCTGCAGTAAACAGAAAACAGAAAACAGAAAAGAAAATCAGAGAAAAATGCTAATCAGTAAATATTTCTCCACTACATTCTCTCCAGTAGAATGTGTTACTTGATTAGATGTTGGGGAGAAGCTTCTTGCTGGGACCAACTAATTCAGGGCTCCTGCAATTTAGGTGAAGAACCATATCCCCTCCCTGCCAGCTTCCCTTGCACTGGAACAACTATTTTCAATCGCATCCCCTCCACTGAAAGTGTACCCTAGGGGCTCAGGAGGCCTCTGTGACAATGGGGCCTAAAACCCAGGTCATGCCAGTGACAAGGCCAGCTGAGCACAGCTGCAGTTCCATGAAGCTTCAAGCAAAATTCCACACTCTGACAACACTAGTATCAACTTCCCCGCTAAAGAATATAACTGAAAACTGACCCAAAGGAAGTCGAGTTATAAGACAGGGAGGACTCTTGTAATTTCTGCGAAGGGTCTCTGCAAGGAGAATGTCTTGGTCAGGCAGACATCTGACCACACACGCAAGTGGGCAAAGCCAATGGCCAGGTTCTGACACCTATGTTGGAGGAGTGTGCAGGCTAAGTGGACTCATGAGGAATTGTCTCCAGGGAAGCCAGTCACCTGGGAGCTGGAAGATCCCAGAAGTGGGCACTCTCAGCAGACAGCAGAGCACTGGCCAGGGACATTAGTGCCTCACTTCATCTGAGAGTCCCCTGTACCTCTTAGGAAATCCTTGCAGATGCTGGGCATAAGTATACTGGTTTGTACCCTGGGTAGGACCAGTCCTTTCATAGCTGTCCCAGGCAAAGATTTCTCTCAGCTTCACCCAGCTTCAAAAAGCATTGCTTAGAGCAGTCTTCCATCCTCTCAGACTTTTATCTGAGGCCCAGGACACCTCGTCTGAGGGTTTGGCCCTGGCCACTATGCAGCTGCATTAAAATAAACTTCTGAGGAAGGAATTTCAGTTACTCCAAGCCCCAAACTTCCATAGCTCAACCCTCACCAAGGCGGCTCTCTGCTAGATTCCGCCCCTCAGTGTTATGCTACCTTTAGGTCCTGGCGGACATCTCCCTGTCTCCCAACATTGGTGGTTTTCCTGGTTTCCCCCATCCTGTGGGCATCTTACATCTTGCTCAGTCTGGTGTATTCATGTCTCCACCACAGACTCAGGGCCTCCTGAAGTGCAAATGCACAATGAAGGTTTGGGGTCATTGTGTCCCCGAGCAGATGGGTTTCTTTACTGACAGAAAATGTCTCTAATATAATTGAAGGAACCAAGAAAATTCAGTATATAAATTCAGTATATATAAATTATGTATATTCTTTAATTATATTCATTAACATGAAAAAATGGATCAGAGGACAAGAACTGAATATTATTTTTATGTCTTTATTTCTTGACTCCATTTATTTTAAAGTTCACATACATTTAAAAGGAAATTCCCACTCCAGTGCTATGGCAACCTGTTTCATATCACAAAAAAAGCGAAAGGTTTCCTAGTTGGTTTAACAAAGCAGCAAAGACTTATGCTTGGAAAGGAACAGCAAAATCCATGTTTGCTCAATGCCACAGAAAATCACAATTTCATAAAAAATTACAGTCAACAACCAATGTAACAATAGCAAAAATAGATGTAACATCGATACCTTACTTCAAGTAAGCTGCACAAGCCTGTTCAATCTTCATAAAGAAAACAGATGTCAATTTCCAAGTAACCTGAAGAGAACAAACACCAACAAGCAAAGCCCAGTATTTTCCCCTCCTACCTATCTCTTCACTACTGAGTTAGCTTGCTGCTCTCTTGAAGTACAGATTGAAGGATGGGAGTCATTTTACATGGACAAGAGCTGAGCTAGTGACGTGGCTTCCGGACACGCCCTGTCCCTGGCCTGCACCTTGCTCCCTCAGGGGCCCTGACTACACGTTGTGCTTGGGCAGCCTCGAGCTCCTCTCTGAAAGCCTCTTCATATATAAGTGGGTAGGACCATGGATCTTTCTTATTGACCTTGGCCAAATGCTCCAGGACTTTCATCTTGCTGGTTTCAGCATGGGTCCTTGGGCCCCACAGGAACTCATAGCAAGCAGGATCACTGTGGGGAACTGGGCGATACTCTAGATACCCTTCCTCCACCAGATCCTTGGTAATGAGTTTCCTGGGCTCCCCATAGATGAAGTGCTCCACCCCATCATACACCTGCATTCTATTAAGTGCAAGCCAGATGACCTTCTCACTGGCACAGTTGCCTCTCTTGAAGATTGTAGTTATAATCATTATCAAGAGGCCAGTTTTGGCAAGGATGAAGTCATCACCCACTCTCTCATTATAGGTGAGACCCAGGACAGGCATAAGAACATATATGTGCCCAGGGGGATCTACTTCCTTCACGTCTATGCCAAAGACCATGTACAAGCAATCAGAGACTTTCCTGAAGACCAGAGGAAAGTGCTCCTGGTAATCCTTCATGATGCCGTAAAGCATTTCTGCTTTGGCAGTAAGCTCCTTTTTTCTATACTTGACCAGCAGGAAATCCACCAATTCATCTATCTTCTCATACAGGATCACAAGGGGCAGGGGCTCAGGACCTTCCTGGTCCCGAGAGGGGCATGGATGCTCCTCTCGTTCCCCAGCAGAGCCCTGACGGGATTGGCTCCTTTGCCTGAAGGCCATGGCAGGGAGGACAGAAGACGCCCTGAGGATTCCGAGGACAATTTGGAGTCTCAGCCCCACGCACTTCTGTGGGTGTCCTTGGGTTAAAGCAGAGCAGAAAGAGGATGGAGACGAAGCAGCGGGTGCTACTTTTACCCCTCGGGCTTCAGACCCCACACACCCACTAGACTTTGTGCCCCTCTTTGGGCCAGACGGCTTCCGTAGCTTGCTGCGGTGACTCCTCCAAGCAGGAAGATGTCCTCCCGTTCCGTGGGGACAGCAGGAGTTTGTGATGAGGACTCAGATGCCTGGAGGAGACAGGGAGAGACTGAGTGTTCTCGGCCCGGAGCAATGCTCTTGTCGGCCCCCACAAAGGCCGCTTACAGTTTTTGCTTTGAGTGAGTGCCCCTCTGGGCCAGACGGCTTCCGTAGCTTGCTGCGGTGACTCCTCCAAGCAGGAAGATGTCCTCCCGTTCCGTGGGGACAGCAGGAGTTTGTGATGAGGACTCAGATGCCTGGAGGAGACAGGGAGAGACTGAGTGTGTTCGGCCCGGAGCAATGCTCTTGTCGGCCCCCACAAAGGCCGCTTACAGTTTTTGCTTTGAGTGGGGCTCTCGGGCCTCAAGGGCTCCTGTTCTCCCCTGGCCTTGTCCCCAAGAACCTGGGACACGAAGTAGGCTGCTCCTCCAGCTGCAGGTGAACTGCAGAGGACAGGCTCTAGGGCAGACAGTAAGGCATATGGAGCCTGGGGACCACGAGGCGTCCTTGTTCTGGGACAGGGGCCCCCAGTACACGTTCAGGGCGTGCACCTCACCCTGACTCCTGGAGCTGCCTGAGCGTCGTCTGCTGTGTGACCCCAGGACACAGCCTCACCAGAAGACCCTCTCTGCCTGGTTCCTGGAGCTCCTGCGAGAGGCACGGAGGGCCCGAAGGCTGCAGACCTCAAGCACAGTCCCGGTCTCTTCACAGGAGGGCTGGGCTGGACTCGGTGAGGTCCCCTCTGATGGTATTTTCTCTGCTGAAAGCCCCATCCCACACCTCTGCTGACCAGAGGCAAGCACTCAGGAAAAGTTGTCTCCCTCTCTGAGAGGAGACACAGGACGGTGAGGGTCTCACTCAGGGCCCAGCTGCCTGGAGTCCACAACTGCTCCATGCTAATCTGATAAGTGCTTTGTTCTAGGATGTTCTCTGGGATGACCTGGGCCCACCTTCTCTAAACCACAGCCCTATCTCTGTGAGACTCAAAGAGGAAGTGAGGGGGAGCAACCCGGAACTGAGAGAGTAGCCTCAGCCTGACAGCGGTGCCTGGGCTTCCCGGGATGACAGCGGGCTGGGGGGGGGACACGTGTGTGGAGTACCCACATCTGTGCTCTGGGCAGGGTACCCAGTCCTCCCGTGGGGTCCTCGCCTTGACCCTGCTGTCTACTGGGCAGATGGGCATCCGTGCTGACAACAGACCTGTGCCCATCTCTCCTGTGATTCAGGACCCCTGATGTGGTCTGAATCTGAATCTCCCTCAGCGTCCCATGGGGCCATCGTGAGGACCTTTGGCACACGCCTGGGTCACCGGCACTTACAGCGGATTGGCCTTTAGGAGCTGGGGCCTGGGGGAAGAGGAGGGTCACTGTGGTGTGACGGGGAGGGTTGCATCTCCCTTCCCGCCCTCGCCACTCCTGCGAGACTTGTGGTGACAGCTTTGATCCCACCAGACCCAAGCACCATGTCCTCTGCCTTGGAGCTGGCCGACCAGGACTGAAACCTCTGCAAAACGTGAGCCCAAATCAGTGCTTCCTCCTTTAGATAGCAAGTGTCAGGTATTGTGGCTCAGCGCTGAGATCCTGAGAGAGCCCCTCAGTGCTTCTGTAGTTTCATTGCCTTCCTCCTCCCTAGTCCTGGTCCCACCCGAAAGGAGCTGTTGTCTCCTCCTGAGACCAAGCCCTCATCCCTGAAGGCTCCCCGCCTTCCTGCCCAGGAGAGAAGTGAGAAGGCCACCTAGGGCCTCCCGGGGCTGACCCCAGGGGACACACAGAGTCTATGGATTCATAGGCTCTGGGCTGCAGACACACTCGGTCCTAAGGAAGGGTCCATGGCTTCGGTCTGGCAGCCCCTGGGGTCCTCTGCCTGCTGCCCATGTGCAGCTCCCCCTGCTGACCTGTGACCACCTCTTGGACCGAGGTCCTTGCCTCTCTGCGTCCTGCCGCCCCCACCCACTTAGCACAAAGGAGAGTAGGTCACATGCATCCCCCCTTCCCGGACCCCCACATTGCTAACAGGGCAGCCATGCTCTTTGGGGTCTCTTCTTTTTACGGGTGTGGGGTAATGTCAAACCTTCAGTCCTGGAAAGTGGTAGAGTGGGGATCCGCACCAATTCAGCCTTCCTGAGATTTGGAATCCAGACTCTGGAAGCAGACAAAAGAAGAAAGAGATCACTAGAAATCAGAGAAAAACTCACAGAAAAACAAAAACGTACAGAGTTGAATGTGTAGAACCAAAGGGAAACCTGGGGACTCCAGGAGGCCCCCGGGAGGAAAGCGGGGCTTCAGTGCTCTGGCGGTTGCTGTGATCTTCATGGATGGCGGTGAGCTCTGCTCCCACAGAGCCCGGCACAGACAGCAGTGGGTGAGTGACCCCTGAGCAGGTGCCCGCCACATCCCTGGAGAGAACGTGGGCTGGGGTGCCATTCCGGGAAAGCCTTGAGTGTTCACCCTGAGACTCAGAACAGCCACAGAACGGCTTGAGTTCAGCGTTTGCAGTATTACTCTCCCGCAGTGAGTGGGCGAGAGACAGTCTCAGCAAACATCCCTGGACAGGGGAGGGGGGGCTGGAGAGAGGCCCCTGAGGGGTTTCCTTTTTTTGTTGACTCCTATTTCTTGGCCGTTTTTATTGTTACTGTTACCTAATGCTATAAACATCCTTCTAGTGTGTTACAGGATCTTTCAGTCCCTTTTTCTCTCTTCTTTCTCACATTCTCTGGATAAAAATTTCTAATTTTCATTCTTTCATTCTCCCCTTTCCAGCTCCTTATCTTCAACAATACAACAATTAAGCTTTATTAATCTTTAGAGAGTCAACTATAAATTTATTCTCAGAATTTTTTCTTGCAGTAGAGGATCTATAGGTGTTGCATTTATAGTTGTGGTACAGAAAAAGCTGTATGTAATATTTGGGTTGTCTTAATATTTATGCTGTAATTGTGGATTGCTATTATATGGTTAAAGGTGGCACCTAATTGCTAGTCATTTTGTGTTAGGATCTGATATATCTTGGATGATACCACTGTAGCTGATCTGCCTGATATTGCCAGGACGGCACAGTTATTGGCATGTTTGGGATCTCTGTGTTCCAATACCCGGATTCCCTTTGTGAAATTAGTAATACTGGGGGCCATGTCCAGAGAACTAGGTTTTGGGCCAATTACACTGCATCTTCCTCTCCCAAATTAAGGGAAGTGGTCAGACTTAGGGGAGAGGTAAAGGACTATAGTCAGCTATGCCCAAAGTGCATCCTTGAAAAGCAGACTAACTAAACAGACCTCTGTACTAGGAACAAGGACTGTGCTCTATAAGCACTACAAATTTCAGCACAAAACAAACAAACATAAAACAATAGAAACATGAGATGACAAGGGAACGAAAGGATTCCCAGACTCCCACCTCCCCCAAAGGCAATCCAGGGGGCATTACTGGGGAGAACTACAAAGCCACACACCTGAAACTCCGAAGGATACCACGGGAGGTTAGAAATCAGGTCAGAGAGATGCTTTATAGTATCACAGAAGATATAACTAAAGAGATAAACAGAATGATCCAGGAACTTTCAGAAGTCACTAATAAAATGCTACCCAAGTTAAAGAAAATAATACAAAGTGGGAATGAACAGTGTAGCCAAGAATTAGAGTCCATGACAAGGTTGCAATCACAAATCCAGATAAAAAATTGCCTTGGACACTTGGGGGACAGAAGCAACTGATATGAAGACAGAATGTTAGAATTGGAGGTAGGGATACTTTTAAAGACTACCCACTCAAAGACACCTTAAAATGAAGAAGAGAACATAAAATATTGATGCAATACCTTCTAGGTGATGCAAAGAGAAGTAATCTAAGAGTAGTATTTAGAATAAGTGAAAAACAAGACAGAACAAATGGCATAAAGAACCTATTTATTGAAAAATTGCAGAAAACTTCCCAAATATATGGCAAGAAATAAGCATACAGAAAAGTGAGGCATGTAGAATTTCAAATAGCTGCCACCAAAAGAGAATCTCTCCAAATAGTATCATTCTCAAAACACCAGAAATCAAAACAGGAACAAAATCGCAAAAGCAGAGAAAAGGAGTGAATCACCTGTACAGACAAATGCATTAGAAAAGTGGCAGACTTCTGAACACAAACTTTAAGGGCCAACAGGTCTTGGAGTAAAGTGTTTCAAGCCCTGAAACTGAAATTTCCAACCCCAAATTGTATAGTCTGCAAAAGGTCCCTTCACAATTGATGGAGGAATAAGTCACTTCCATAAAAAGGATCACTGTAAAAATTTGCAGTGAAACCATGAAACCAGCGTTACAAAAAGTCTCAAGAATATCCTAGAAGAGACAATGAAACCAGTCAATACCAATTAGTCAAATAGAATGAATATACCTGGCAGGATGAGCAGCTAAGCAGAAACAAGGAAAGAAAGAGGGAGGGGGAGGGGGAGGGAAAGAAAGGGAAAGAAAAGAAACATAAGGTAATCAGCACAGGAATCCAATGCCAGGACAGGAGGATGTCAATTCCTTTCAATAAAAACTCTCAATGGGAATAGTCTCAATTTCCTAATCAAAAGAAATAGATTGGCAGAATGTACCAAGAAACAAAAGCCAAGGATATGTAGTATAAAAGAAATATGTTTAATTCAAAAGTAAATTCATGGATTAGAAATCAAATGACAGAAAACAGCATTCTGTGCAATGGAAACCTGATAAAAAGCAGCAGTAGCTATCATAATTTTAGTAAAAGTGAATTTCGAACAAAGCTGACCAGA